AGAATGAATTGATGGTGCCCGATTCAGACTTTTTCTTTCTACCAGAATTTCCATGGCCTGTGGGACTGGTGGGAGAAACAGCATTCCTGTCCCCACACTGGCACAAGACTGCCTTGCAATGCAAAGGGACATGCTGACCATGGTCTGTGGGTCCCATGGGTTCAGGGTGCCCTAGAGATGGCTTTTGCTGGCAGTGGAGACATATACACTGACTTGAACATATGCCAGTGCTCAGGTCCCTAGGAGCTCCCCTCATTTCTGCCCTTCTTTYAGCCCTTATACTCAAGCATTTTTTAATTCCTCTACACAGATATGCTGTCCTGCCTCATGACTTCCATAGCTTGCTGTTGTTATTAAAGTCAGCTGGACACTCTTCTCMTCTCCATGTGCCCCGTCATCCTCTTCTCTTGTGTGTGGATGAAAGAGGGAGAACAGGATCAGCTGAAAACTGGCTGAGTGTGGGGCCTCTTCTCCCACATCTTAAAGRGGATGCAAGCAAATGCCAATGGTGTCCAAAGTACTTGCAGTGCTGCAAAGATTTGGAGCAGTACAAATAGTGGACTCCAAAAAAGCAAGGTGATGCAAAGACAAGAGGAAGTCAGAGCATCTTCCAGCTTCTCCCAAACCACCGGTGACTTGCAGAAGCAACTAAATATGGCATTCACCAGCATGTAAACATGTGGCTCAGGCAACACAAACATGGTTTCCTGAGCAGAAATACTTTGTAGAAATCATGCCTCAATCAAAGATTTAATCTACCATGTAACAAGGAAAAGCAACGTTACTGCAGGGGGTAATGATACACAAACTGCTGAGGCTGGGGGTGCCAGCACCATTCACTATCTTTGGTGCMGTCTCTCAAACTGTTCCAGGTTTATCTTATCCTGGAGATGCGTGACATAACTGCACACGGTGCTGCTAATGAGGAGTGTGAAAGGACTGCAGAGAGCTGTACGTGGTGGCAGGAGGAGGAGTTTACRAGCAGAAAAGGGACAGAGCTGAAGGTACTTTGTAAAACAGTGTTCTTTTCCTATTTCTGCTGAAAACATTTTACACAGGCCTTATCACTTAGAATAAGCTTTTCACAAGTGATCACTATTTTTAAATGAGAGATTTTTTGAGTATCTAATGTGAGAAATGAAGCCAGATCCACACCAGTGCTGAATTCTAAGCATCTCCTGGTTCTGCTTTCCACACAGAGGAGGCTATAAACAGTAGTCTGAAAAACCAGTCCCTCAATGTCTCAAGACAGACACTGAAAATGGGTAGCTACTGTTGACAATTCTGGCTTTAATCTTTGTAYACTGATGCTAAGGGGAACGTGCTTAAAACGCCCATTTGGCAGTTCTTTATTCACTGCATGCTCTGAACAACAMACCCCAAATATGGCACAGGGCCACATGAAATGGGGGGAACAAAAAGAAATAATAAGCACTCATTCACTGATTGCAGCAGAGGACCTGTAGAAAATTTAATAAAGGGCCTCATCAGGATGTATTACAATGCCCTAGCTCAAAACTGTACAGGCAGTCTTGATGCCCAATTTGTCAGAGCTTGTCCTGGAAMCTCATGCCCTCTTTAAATACGAAGATTATATATATTAAATATCAACAAATGACCAGTGGGAGGGAGTTCTTCTGGGWACAGTCCAAAATACTCACTTTGTTCCTTTTCCTGGCTGAAAGCATGTGATTATCATGTGGAAGCTTCGTATTTGAAACCCTCCTGATGCCCAGGACCCAAAGCATGAGCTACAGATGTGTGGGCCATGGCAGCAGCTGGACCTCAAAAAGGGGAAAAAWTTCTCCCTGTGCTTAGTTAACATCTGTCATTCACTTCTGGGCCAAATAAAAACTGAAAAACACATAGAGAATGCATAGGGGTGGGTTTTAAAACTGCCCTATCCATTCTGGGTGAAACTGGCCCTGCTGAAGTCAGGAACATCCACCTGTCAAGACTTTACCTCTGCTTTTTGTGCTTTGCATGCATGTTTATCTCTCTGCCAGCCTCTCCCTGGGGCTTTGTTCATTAAACTTATTATATTGTCTCTTTTTCCAGTTTCTGGGAAGCTCTTTTAAATCCTGCGCCGGTATCTGTTACACTTACAGGATGTTTTCCCCTCAGGATAAAGAATAATAGTTTGATTTGCGACACTGCAAGCCCTTAGGCACCAGAAGTTTATCACTTGTAGTTTTTTACTGAGTCAAAATCTTGTGGTGACAGGTAGAGGTATAGAATTTATTCAGGCCATAGGAAAAGGGCTTTGTGGGTGAGTGTTTTCAAGGCCTCAGGTCTTTCTCTGCAATCTCAGAGTGTCAGCCATGCCACGGCTTGTCAASGAGACTGATGCCCTGACCTTGAAAGGGATGCAGAAACTAACACAAAGGAAATAAAAGAATCTGGGCAAGTAACAAATAAGGTAACCAAAAGTATCCAACCCTAAGGAAATTACACACTAACTTACACTACATTATGTAGATAAAGTAAGATTTACTGAATGCTAATTTTTCTCATCAKCATATCACAGAGTACAGAGGCAATGCTAGAAATGGTGATAGCCATTTCTAGCCATGTCTAAGTCCCTACTTCTCTCACAGAGAGCATCCTCTTAAACTTAATGGAAATGTAAATATAAAACATTCACAGCAATAAAAGTCTCYGGAGATAGAGTCTAAGTAGCGTGATTAGTATGGAAAATGCTTCATAAATCCCAATTCCAATAATCTCTGGTAGCATAAAGGATTCATCTCATTATGACTTTCAAYAGAGCCTTGTTAATTCTCACTTCACTAATCTGCGACCTTGAAAATTCCCTGTCCACATTKCAATGAAGTGTTGACAGCTGAGTGAAATAGGGAGGTATTCCAGCAAGGGCTACAGGTGACAGAATACATCCCAAAACACTCACTAGATTTACATAAAGTACTGTGCCTGACTAAATGAAATTAAATCAAATCACAAGTCTTAAAAAAACTACCATCCACCATTTTTATTTTAGCATTTCAAATCAAATGGCAGAATCTATCAARTAATTTATTACATAGTATATTTTGCAAGGCTGCTGCCATAGTAATAAAAGGAGTCCTGCGTTAATGACATTACTTCTGACATATTTCTGAGATGAATTATCTAATTTTTGGGACTAGTTCCTATTGTCTGTAAGCTTTTCAGGCCACTGAAGCAATAAAAATCTTGAAGCACACAGGCACACACGCATATAAATATATATACATATATATATATACACACACACACACATTACTACAGTCTTGTGCACACATTTCCTGCTACCACTAATGAGACTGCACGGTTTACTGAAGACTTGCATTATTCTGTTCATGAGGTTGTGTGGGTAAGAAGACAAAATGACTGAACAAAAGAAATTCTGTCCAGTTTTTCAGGCTCCAGAGCTCATTTGCTTCTATTACCCCAAGTGCATTAAAAACATTAAAAAAAAAATTAAAAACTCTTCTGAAAGTAATGTAAATATACCTTAAAAAAAAAGTCCTTATTTTTTTTCAAAATTAGGCAGACAGCAATTTATGTAATTTCTTGCCAAAATTGACAATTGATCATAATTAGGTATTAAAATCTGAATCACTATTGTTAATCACCATGCCACTAGAATTATAAAATCCAGAGACTAAAAACATTTGTTGCCATTATGCAAAAATCACCACTATCAAAATAACAATGAAACTACACTGGCAAATGCAGAAAAATTTTGATCTAAAATGGGTTAGTGCAGATGACATCATCTAGTGTTTCACATTTAATTCTTTTCTGTTATTAATTTTACAACACCTTTGGCAACACTATTGCTCCATTACTGTAAAGTACTCCCTCCAAAAGGACCCAAATTGAGATGCATTTCAAAACAAGCTCCTTTCTATTCCTCTCTATGTGGTTTACTRGTGAGCATATTGACTGATGGGGTACCTTTGCCCTACAGCCTCTGAGATCTTACACAAATCAGAGAAAAGCGGAGCACAGGGGCACATTGGAAGCTCCTTGGTGGAGCTGGCAGCAGTGTTTTGCCCCATGCATTCTCATGCTTTGGCACTCTGTACACCACTCTAAGAGAATAACATTTCTCTCCATCTCATCTGCACTCTCGTGTGGAGAAGCCACCATTACCTCTTCCTAATCCTCAGCTGCAGAGCTTTGTCTGTGGGATGTCCATGGGAGAAGCAGGGGAAGGGCAGAACAGTATGAATTTATGTCAGATTTGAAAACACTGATGTATTTGAGACATTGGGTGGCCTAGGATGGCTAGCCTGGGCTGTACAAGAAACACTGACTCTAGGGGAAAGCACTGAAGCTGTGAGGCTGCGGGAGAAAGCACATTACACTGTTTAGCTGAACCCTGGCACACAGAACCCACTGTTGGTTGCAGAGTTAAGGAAACAAAAACGGATCCTTTCTCACCTTTGTACGACTTCTGCAGGGTGTCATTCTTTAGCTCCTGACTATTCCATGCACTGAAACCACATCTAACAAATACATTAAGCTGGTGCATCTGATGTTAATTTCCTATTCCCTGTACTTTGATAGGAATTTCTGTAAGATTGTGAAAGAGTAGTGTTGGAAGTTCTTTCCCTCCTCACACAAGAGCTCTGCCCAGTTGKGTGGTGTAAAATCAAAAAGCCTTCATTTATCTAGCCACAATTTCTCATTTCAGTGGTAGAACTATTGAAGAGCTTCAACAGTAGAAGAGCTACTTTTTCCTTCTGCCTTCAAAGATGAAATGTCTTGAGCACCCATCACTTTGTTACTACAATCCAAGTTACAAACCTTTGAAAGTCATAGAAGCGGCAGCATATTTAACTTGTTTTACTCCTCAACCCATTTAAAAAATACATATGCTGATACTTCTGTAAAAGCTTTTCACATGATATTAGGCAGTCTGACAAAACTTTAAGATATTCTAAAAGAACAAAAATTAAAAGGCAACAAAGCCTTTCTTTAGAAATTCAAGATAAGCTAGAAAATTAACATACCAACAGCCATCATGTAATCCCAGCGGTCTATGAGGCACATATTGAAGATCAGATGGTCAGATGTTTGCCCTTGACCAATGAGTGGAATGTTTCTCTCCAAATTTTGGGTTATTGCAGAAGTCCAGCCAATGAGAAACCAGACGACTACCAGAAGAATAACAGACAGCATCCTCATCACTCTCCCACCTGTCATATATGGAATACGCTGAGCCGTTCGGGACAGGAATACCTTCAAAACCCTGAAAAAATCAGACAGTACAGAATTAAGAAGAGCACTAGTAGTGTCACAGGAATTAGACTTTCATTTTATTTCAGTATCAGATCATTAAAAAAAAAAAACAACAATCTTTTCTCTGGCAGTATATACAAGAGTGAATTTTGGAACATTATTACTTTCATATTAATCACATTTTAATGGAACTGATTGCTACCCAGAGAGTGTCACATAGCAATRATAGAAAACATTAGCTATGCTGATGTTAGAGACACACATTTACAGGCTGTGTTGTCAAGCTGTTTTGTACCTTCCATCTCCCAGTGGAAGACTTCTGCCTTTGAGAAATGAAAGGTCATTTCCATAAAACAGCAACCACGTGAGATTTCATTCTGTTTTGATGCTGCCTGTCTGTTCAGCCCCAATCCTGCTATTTCCAGAGAACAAATTAACACTTCTTGGATATTTTTTCCACTGAGTTTGATGGTGCTGAAACAATAACCTATTCATCTTAGAAATAACTGTGGAAGGCAGTTTGCTAATTAAGTGGGGTTTGATTTGTTTAGCAGCAATGACATGTTTTTTGAGCTAGGACAGAACCATCATAAGAAAGGCCCCACCACATGTCAAGCACTTATACCATGTAGCAGMTACTGAGAATGAAACACTCACTTTAAAAATAATTGCACTTACTATTAGGTTAAGTTTACTCCCACCAAGAAACTGTTCAAGGAAATAGCACCTGTGTTTTCTATCCATCACCACCTGCTAATGCAGAAGAAGGCCCTCCTGGGAGCATGAGAACAACCAAAATTTGAGGAAATCCCCTCGGGAAGAAGGAGTAGTTTGATTCTTCACGTAGCACAAAATGCCTCTCTGTGCTGCCTGCACATGGGATCACCCAGAAGGATCTTCTGGGAGCATTGCAGTGCTTCTGACTCAGCCCTGCTAAGTTACCAAGGATGAGCACTGAGGAAAGGCTGCCATGGAAGTTTTTATGTACCCAGACCTTCAGAAGCAGACAGGCTGAAGTTTAAAGGCTGTTTTAGAGACTGGGGTGAGGGGCCTTTCAAAGTGAAGAGGTAAGCTGTTTCAGTGATTTTTGTCCTCAAAATCACAGTGGCKCTGGACTCCTGAGCATAAGCGTGTCCAGTATTGATAACCATGAAGGGACAAATTATCACTGATGTTTTGGGATCTTGATTATTTTCTTTTCCTGAAGTTGAGTTTTTAAATGGCCTTGTCAGCTCTTAAGTTATTTCAGTGCACCAAACATCAAGCCACCCTCAACCTTCTCAGCAACACAAAATCACACTTCAGATCAACATTTAGGCTTATATTTATCTTAGGGAAGGCAGAAGCAACCAGTGCTGCCTCTCAAACAACTAATAGAGCAGTGTCTTTAAAGGCAGAACACAAAAGCTTTTCCAGATGCACAGAAATGAATCAGCATTTGACTACAAACACAGGCTGCACAGTGTGCATTAGGTGAAGTCAGGGAYCTGAATATGTTCAACATTATTCAGCCGTTTCCCTCCCAACAGTCACTCCACAGGGAGTCACAGTTTTTGATCTTTCCATGTTTGATAGATGTTCTGCTCCCCCTTTACAGATGYTAAGTGCCTTATGCTGGAAGCAGACTCCCAAAGACCTCAGCCAGAAGAGACAGAAAACCCCACAGAGCCAGGCAGGCCATTTGCATCCACACTGCTCAGCCATAGCACTGCTGTTCCARGGCAGCACTGGTGAGCCCTCATCTTCTAAACTCTAGAAATCAGGAAGCCAAGGCTTCCCTCCTCCCCATTGTGAATGCTGGTCAACAGTTAGCTTCTCTGAAGGGAAGAAAAATAAATTCTTTTTTTTTGGTAATGAACTGGAAAATTTCACAGCTATAGTCTGCCATTTGAGAAAAGTCTCATTGTACGTTTTTATGAATATTGAATCATTAGAGAAATCACACAAACCAGTTGAGAACTATTAGAAACTTTTTGTATTTTGGTTCTAAAGTAAATTCTTGATGATTCTACTGAAAGTCAACATGTGAGCCTTTTATGGACATACCAAGGCAGAACACATCAGATTATTTCCAGGACTCATTTATTAACTGCTGCCTGTGAGACAGCTTTCTAAGGGAGAGGTGTGGGCTGCTATTAYATTATTTACCTAAGCACAGTGACACAAGTAATATTTTGCCATGCAGCAGTCAAACACCCTCCAATTTGGATCAAATCACATCTATTTTTTTCTCCTCTTTTTCACAAAAATAAGCATCCCCTGCCACAATCATTTCTACCTCGGCTATGTAGGCTTACATGTAAGCCAACCTTTAYACTTCTATTTTCAAACATTTTTTTTCTGAAAAGCTGCAAAGAAAGTTGGGTTAGATTAGTAATGTTGCACATCTCCTTTTCAGAGGTGGTGGCATAAAAGCGCTCAAGCAGAACACAATCTCCCAAGCTGCAATTCCCTCATCCTCTTTCCACAGTGTAAATCCRGAGCCTCACTGCTCACCACCTCAACACTGGGCTTACATGCTCTGTYTGCCCTCATCTTCCATGTATTATTGAGCATGTATCAAAGCAGAAACAGGTGCCCAGGAGTTCCCCCTCAAGGGCACACCTTCTCACCAGGTTGAAGGGTCATTATCCTTCCTGAACCTCTGACTCATAGAATCAAAATTCACTGTAAAAAAGTTGAATTGCTGCAGTGTGAGACCGAACTGCCTTCAGCAAACACACAGTGTGATTACTGGTAGCCTCTRTCAGAAAACAGGGGAGTTCTTAATTCAGCTGCCTGCCCTGATTTCTGGGTAGACAGTGTTCAAGCCCCCTTTTCCACTCAGTTCAATATCTCTATATTGGGTCAAACTAGCTATTGAACAAATGAGACACAAGAAGTAGAGCTGGTGGGCTGTGTCAATTCCAGGAAATTARATATGCCCAGGGTCATTGCCAACTGGCACAGAACAGCCAGCATCCATACTATTACCCTCAGCATCACAACTCAGCAGGACAGAGAATGGAGTCCCAATGTCCAGGATTGTTCTCAGGTGCTACTTAATTTATGAATATAGATTTTGCCCCAGATTCAAGTTCCTGAGCAAATGAATGTTTAATTATGAGTATCAAGGAAGACAAAGAGGATGGACTCCTCCTGTTCTATSTACACCCAGAATTCCTGGTAGAGCCAGTCAGTGCCCTGGTAGAAGCTCAGGGGTCTCTTTGAGACATCTGATCTCCAATCCATAGCAGAAGAGGAAACTTAACCATGTTCCTCGGCATCTTCTAGCTATACTCACTCCCACCTAAAGCTAYTCAGCAAATGCAATCCACTTCTCTCTGCTGTTGTTGGATAATCAAACAATCATTTCCAGTGACATGTCTTCAGCTCCATTTACAGGTAGATAAGATAGAACTCTGCATGTRTTTTACCTGCTTTTCTGGAAGACACAGTTGCCTTCAAGCAAAGCTGACCGACAGACAGGTACAGCCAGCATCAAAACTGACATGCAACAACCTTCCTTTTACAGAGAAAACAGAGGTGATGTTCAGGCTGAATGAACTGTCTGGAGACCACTGCACACAACCCCCAACTCTGCTGGCTGTACTGGCAGGTCTGGGGATAATTAAGCTACATGGGCAGAGGACTTTATTCAAGGTGCCTGGATCCATATAAATGCAGAAGAGGAGGGCTTGGTTGCAAACCCAGAGAACCAAGGGAAGCCCAGCAGCTGGAAAGGGAAGCCATGCTGCAAGTGGATCTGAAGCAGAGGGACAAGAGCACGCTGCTTCACAGAACCAGCTGGGATCACCAGCTTGGAAACATCGAGTGAAGCACGTGGCTGCTGCTGTAGTTATATCCTGAGATGCAATGCGTGATCTTATTAAAATCATATTCAATTTTCATGCCGAACTACCCAAACTACCACTGACWGCATAAGCAGCAGGAACAACAGGTGAAGGATCCTGCTTTGACATCAGTGACCTCGMACAGTTTGTTTATTTTTTATTTCCAGCATCTGTCATTTTGTGGCTCTACTGAGTCATTCTGTCAAACTGTTCTGTTCCAGACTGCTGATTTTTATTATGATACAGAAGCTACATCAGAAAGATAATGGGTCAAGCTCTTAGGAAGTATACTGCCCTCCTACAGGGCAGGGATTATGTTTTATCTACATTTTCTGCACTAACAGGGAATATGCCACTAGTTACTCTGAGTTTGTAAACTGCTGTGACTCTACTAAAAGTGAAAAGGTACCAGTGGGAAATGTATGGCACCATATCGATACAAAAGAATGCCTACACTTCACACTTGACACACAGACACACACACATACACAAATACTGAGTGCARGTATAATTTCCACATCAGGAAAGATGACTGAATAAAGAATATCAACACTTAAGGCCCAAGACCTCARCAATCATATTTAGAAACACTCGTACCATGAGTTACTGGCTCTTGCTGGAAAGGATAAAACCCAACTGAGAGAGAGAAATTAACAGCTTTCTAAACAACTTCCCAACTGAAAGCATTCAAATTGGTCATTGTCTAATTCGCAAGTGATTTCTTAAGACCTCAGCACAGAACAAACTAGAAGAAGATGACTGAAGAGAATACTCACTGAAATGGGGATGGTYTTTTTATTTACTGATTCTGACCACAATGAACCTGAGCAAACCTGGACTGATGGGCATGCCACGTCAACAGCATGACAACAGGATGGCAAGACCTACATCATATGCATCGTGTCCTGTCCAGTGAAAATGTACAACTAGAAAAGAAGTTTTGGCAATTGTGTGGGTGTATGAATACTTCTGAGAGATTCCACTTTGTGCAGAGCCAGCAAACTTGGCCACATATCACCGACAGCCATCAAAATATCTGAATTCCTTCACACTAGGCATGCAAGAATTCACAGTGTAGATAACAGGAAATCTCCCACGTTTTTTATTTCAGAAAAGAATTTTGTAATAGCAAATACAKGTCAGGAACATTGCCATGAAAGACAACAAATGCTTTCCA